ACAATACGAAGGTATTTTTAGGGGACACTTGGCCTCGATTTGATGCTCTGAAATGATCCGTTTCTCCTTTGGTCTGGTTCAGGTCTGCTGCTGGATGAATGAAGAGAATAACGCACAAAAACACATGAATCGGTGTGTTCGTGTGTGAGCTTACATCTGTCTGTTGGGAAAACGTGAAACTTGATGAATAATTTTTAACAGAATCTCTAAACTGAACAAAGAAAAACACTGTTAGCTCTGGAACTAATGAGACATATTATATAAAAGTTTGGAGCCAACTTTATTTATATTAGCTCCAGATCTAACCCTATTAGCTCTGGAGCTAAAGCCATATAAACCGGTATTTTACCTGTGGAGCTAATGTTATTAGCTGCAGAGCTAACCCTATTAGCTCTGCAGCTAATTTCATATAGCGGTATATTAGCTCTTGAGCTAACGTGAAAGCTGAGTCATTTCTGCATTCTCCTCTCTGTCAACGCGCTCCAGTTTAAATTAAAGGGCTGAATGTCAGATAATGTCCAAAATTAACATTCCAGCTGAAAGGAGCTCACACTGGAGCCATTTGTCTACACCATTTACCCAGAGTGCATTGCAGCATAAATAAAATGGCAATGTCTGTATCATTAATTTTTATTAAATTAAAAAACTAGACAGGCTTCAGTATTTTTATGGTCTCGTTTTTATAGCTGAAGTAATTGTTTTTCAAAAAGCCGCTTCAACTAGTCAGAGATCATTTCATGTTTTTGTGCAAGATATTCAAGTGGGTCGGAGTTCGACTGTGTAGCAGAACAAAGGTAGTTTTTTTTAATCCCCAAACAGGTGCAGTGAAGGAGCCAGGGGGTGGCAAATGGTGGCCTTGACCACCATAGATTAATCTTTGGCCACCCCGTCATTTGAGAAAACTAGACTTTTATGTAATATAAAAACTAGAAAGCATAGTTTCCTCAAATGACTGGGGTGGCTGGTTTACATGGATGTATATGGTGGTAGCCATCTTGAATTTTGACGTGGCAACCCATTTTTCAAAAGGAACCTTCTTACACATTGATGCAGCCACAGTTGAAATGGAAATCGGTACCTCATTTATTATGCCGACAACATGGACGGAGAGACAGAGGGCATTTCCAACTCCCCCTCTTCGCTCTGTAACGGGACAAAAAGGAGCCAAGCCATGACATCTGATGTGCGGCTTGGGTCTCTTCGATTTAATTCCATTAAATTCAGTTCCGATTATTTATATAGCGCCAAATCACAACAGAAGTTATCTCAGGGCACTGAACAAAAACATTCACGTATACAAAAGCCAGTCAGTAAAGTTCTCCATGTAAGGAAGCCAGCAGACTCGGTGAATCTTCATTTTGTTGCAGTCTCCCATCCTGAGCGAGCACAAAGGAGACCGTGGAAAGGAAAAACTCCCTTTTAGCAGGAAGAAACCTCCAGCAGAACCAGGCTCAGGACGAGCGGCCATCAACCGGCTGGGTTTGAGAGGACAGGAAGAAGGTGATTCTTTTTAAAACGACTGCTGTGTAATTTCAATAAAACTTCAAGTCTTTCTCAGAGGAAGGAAACCTCGACTCCAACGGTCAAACAGGTGGACATAAACGCAAAGAGACAGGTGAGATCCCGTCTAGTCCTGTCAGAAACAAAGACGAGAAGACTCATCGAGAAGCAACAACCAGCCAGGCGGTCTCAGAACTCGCTCCAAAACATTTTTCATGTCCGCACAAGTTTATGTACTTTATTATTGGTTTTCTATAAACTTTATTTCCAAACAAATATTCAAATCTATCCTTTGCAGAAAACACAGACGGCATATTCACAGAATCATGCGGTAAATAAAATTTAATTTAAACTCGTTACTGTTTAGTCAATAAGCTCAGTTTTAGAAAATGTTGCTTTATGTTACATTCCAGGACAGACCCAGAACATAAACTACCAGACACTTTGCAAACCTTTGAAGTGAGAGGAAAGAGTGAAAGCACCAGGAACTCCGCAGGCTGCTCCTCAGTTTGATCAATCACATGCACAACGCCCACAAACGACTCTTAATGAGGTTCTGGTGTCTTCACGTCCAACTTCAACCCATTTCTCTCAGACTTCATCTACACTCATCAGGATACAAGCTCCTTTATATTTGTGTCTAAAAGCGTTAAATAAAAACAACAATCCTTCACAGTGGTGAATCAGGGAGCTACACCGCTGGACTGAAGTCTTCAGGTGAATTAAAGGTTTTTCATCCTGAATCCTGCAGCTGAAAAACCTAATCAAGCAAAGGCTTGTGCTGCTGCTGGTTCTGCTAGCCAGAGGACTTCATTATCCCTGGTCCAGGTTTTAAACTGAGCTGGAACAGGGTCAGGGAACTCTCTTATTTTGACAGGGTGTGTTCCGGTAACTGTTTTCTTGAATCTGGTAACTCTCAGGCTTACTAATAATAAAGGTATGAACAAATTTGACTACCTTGAACGATTAAAACTTATATTGGATATGTATAATCTGAAAATAATTACATAAACACTAACTTTAAACATAACAGCCACTTACGAGGATCCTATGTCACATCAGAGTTGCCCCTTCAAGTAAACATGTTCACTTCTACCCTTGAAAAAATCTCCACCCCTAAAAGTACAGTCATGGCAATTTAATTAAAAACACAAAAATATAATTTAATAGCACAACAAAGTTGCAAATCAGTTTTACAGTTTAAGTGCGTCATTAATAAAATGTTGATTTATTTATTTAAAAATACGAGAGAAATGTTTGCTGGGTAATCACGTGATGTACGTCACGTAACAAAACAACGGAGCCAATTTGTCAAAATAACAGCGATCAAAATGTTGAAAAGACAGTCCAATTTACTTTCATTAAAAAAAAAAAGTCCTCTCATTGTTCAACTAAACAACCGAGAATTGGAGCACATGAAGGCAGTGGAGATACTGGAGCTGGTGTGAGGATGCTTGAGAGAAGCAGAGTGTGTCTATTCACACAAGGAGAGCTGTTGGTCAGGCTAATTCTTGTTGCTCTCTAAAATAGTTATTGAATCAAGCGTTAACATATGTAAGTAAACGAAGATGTTTAACAACCTGTTGAAATACACCAGAATGCAGGAAATTGTATCTAATTTATTCAAAATTTTCTGGGGGAGGACCCCCAGAGCCCCCTGCACCATTTGCATTCTGGCATAATTTGGTTTACAAATTAAGCACTGCCCTGGTCCAAAGGATCAACGTGGACAGGGAGGCGTGTAGTCTGACAGCAAGCTCAGCTCACCTGGGACCGTGGTTTCCATTTTCCTTTCAAAATAAATTGCAGGAGCAGAAGCTGGGGATGCTTCTGGTTTTTATTTTTCTTAGAGGAAAGGGGTGGGCGGTATGTGTAAACAGAAACAACAACAAAATAGCATAGTGACAGATGCATCAAATCTTCAAATTCACCCATGCGAACTAAAATATGACCAATGGAAAATCCCTGCCATCCATAAAAGATAAATATTAGATAAAGCTAACGGTCTGATCAATCTCCTGGCAGAACACTTGAGCCTTTCTATGAACCACCAGTACCCGACACCTTTTACACACACAGCTCAGAAACTTCAACTTTCATACATGACACCAAGAGGAAGGTCCAGGTGAGGTGAGGATCAGAGCAGCTGCTCGGTGCGTTAAATAACTGCATCAACGAGTACGCAGGGTTTAACTGGTCAACACAACTGTAGCTTCTGTAGTATTTGATAAGAGTACCGCAAACATTATACATCCGTCGACTATTATACAGACATCTACAGCAATGGCCTGGACAAGCAAAGACTTGTAAAACATTTAACCTTGATTTGTGACCTTGACCTTGGAGCAGGGGTGATTAGAGATGAACACCCCCGTCTAGTGATGATGAACGTGTTTGGTTTCATTAAATTATTTTGAGTGAATCAGTAGCTTTGCTACAGACAAGAGACAGTTTGTGTACAGAGACCAGGGCTGTTCAACCGGGGGCCCGGGGGCCAAATCAGGCCACAGGTGAGCTCAGTTCGACCCACCATTGGGTTCAGTTTCAAATTAAACTAGATTTTAAAGCATTAAACAACCTTACTTCAGTTTATTTTATTTAACCAGGCAAATCCCACTGAGATCACAGTTCTCTTTTACAAGCGAGGTCTGGGCCTGAACGCAGACTAACATGCATGATTTTGGTCTGTGGGAGGAAACCGGAGTGCCCGGAGAAAACCCACGCAAGCATGAGAAGAACATGCAAACTCCACACAGAAAGACCCCAGGTGCAACTGGGGATTGGATCCAGGACCTTCTTGCTGTGAGCCGTCGTGCTGCCTTCATGACAACAACTGCTGGATGTTCAGCCCGAGCTCTTGGCTTTCAGTAACTGTGGGCCCCTGAGTGATTTAGTTGGGCGGCCCTGGACTAGACCATAATATGTCCATCTTTTAACGGGCATTTAAAAAAGTTTTGCTCGTTTCCCTATAACTTGACTTCTTCTTATCTTCTACATAAAGAACAATGAAACTGCCAAGACTGCATTAAACGGGTCGGGTGAGCTCACATTTAGTGGTTTCAGAGAAGGTAGAGAGGACGCCCCACAGCAACGCAGGCCAGCAGAAAAACCTTCCTCCCACACAGTGCGGTTCTGGATTCATGTTCTGCAGCTCGTCACCACAGAGTAGGCTGCAGGACTGACGAGGAGATAATGGCAGCTGGTGCTGCTCAGCCTCGTCAGGACAAGGAAGTGCTGCAGCTCTTACCGAGGTCCAACAATGGCTACCAGAATCTGTTTGGGCATGCAGCGCCGTAACAGAACTGCAGGCTTTTTAACTCTGTCCTCAGTAAAATGTTTTATATTCAGATTTTTTTAAAAAGCTGATGCTGAAAAGAAACTAACATCTAGAGCTGTATCACTAGAACTCTGACAACGAGGCGCTGATTTATTTTTATTAAACCTCTTCACTTGGAAAATGGTGATTGTTGCCGACTAGCAGGTGAGGCTGGACAGGATACCTGTGAAGAGTTTGGTGATGGCCTTGTTCTGTCGGCGAGCGGAGCAGATGAGCAGCAGCCAGGGAGGCAGGAACTCGTGGTGACCGGCGAGGAGCTCGGCGATGGTCCTGGGAGAACCGGGGGAGGACCTCTGGTCCCCCTCACCGAGCTGGCACCCCTCGTCGATGGAGTCCACGAGCAGGAAGAGGGCCTGCTGCGGGGGCTTCACGCTCAGGAGAGGCAGCAGGACGCACCTGAGAAGAGAAGAATCAGACAAAAAATGGTCAAAATACTGATGTTTCTCATTTCTAGTTTTTTAATAAAATAATTTGTTCTGGTAAACTGGAACCCTTAATGAGGATCCAGTTTAAATTTTAAACCGGGAAAAAGTAATTATTTAAATTGTAGTAATTTTATAATCACGTAGTTCCAAATTATCCAAATTAAATCTGATTGTTCAATACATCTTGATGTTGGCTACATTTCCTGTTTGACACAAACTTTGAGAGATAATTTGAACAAATTCTGAAATAAATAAATAAAATCAAATATCACTCATTAGAAGTTTGATCATTTTTCTTGATTAGCAACGAAAACAAACATGTATGTGTATATATATATATATATATATATATATATTCATTCAAGCTTTATTTAAACGGATAAATCACATTGAGCCTCGAAGACTCATTTACAAGTGAGACCTGTTGAGACCGGTTTATATATATATATATATATATATATATATATATATATATCT